TCATCCGAATAGTGTGTGTGGGTGTGCTATTCACTGTTTACCCGATTGGTGAGTTGCTTCGGCACACAGGTTTTTGGTCATACGGGGATAGATTTTCTGTCGAGTTTATTTTATTTCACGTGATTGTTTTTACTCTGCTCAATTTGGGTCATGCGCACANAATCTCTCAGTATATTTTTGTTGTATTTAAATGGGATAAGTTTCTTCAGAGTACATTGTCATGTAGTCTTCTTGGAAACACCGCTTTTCCCTCACAAATTTGAATAGAAAAACAAATATGGGTTTGTCCAATGTATCCATGGTCATTTCGCTGTATCTGTTTTCCTGTTTTGTTCATAAGTATGTTTCACCCCTATATAAGTAAATTGGTAGTGCTTAAATGGTCCCCACGATACTATGGCTGTCCCTTCAGTTCATAATTTTTAAATCCTCACGTCCTTGTTCTGTGAACATAATAACTCGGGAAGGACTATATCCCGACANCCCGACAGGAAATAACCGTTATTCATTCTGGTATACTGCACTGAATGGCCTCTTGAACTCGGAACTTTGAGCTAAACGGTAATCTTCATGGTATCTCTCCAATGTGGCGTTGTAACTCGTATACAGCATACTAAATTGACAGCCAGATCTCCACAACGTTATTATTTAAGGTAACATGCGGTAACACCAGTGAAACGACCTGAATGGTTCAATGGTCCACTTGGATAGCTCCAAGATTTTCTCTAGCTGTTTACCACGTAATCCAAAATTCACATTTGAGACAATTGTGAGCAGTGGTATGGGATAATTGATATTGATTTGAAATGAGTGTATGGTTGATCAGATGAACTGAGGCCTAAGCTGCAGATGAAGTCTGAAGGATGGTCAGTTCAAATCAGTAATACAGAATTATCACCTTGTGTTGTGTTGTTTCCCGCCAAAACTATTGCCGAACCTGGTCCCATGATGCGTATCCTAACGATCCCATTTAAAAAAGGTTACAAACAGTGCTAGGTTTCATTGATAGTGCCAGCCAAACTTACGTTGAGAAAAAGAGAAACGTGCAGTATATGGTGTTGATTACTGCCTCGTCATTTGTCTGGAATCGGGTTTATGAGGGCGACCATGGAGAGAACACGATTACGCATCCATGACCCTAATGAAAATACCAACACGTCCTCACGGTTTCAAATTAAAAACGCGAGAACTCTAAGGGGAAGGTTCGGCTTCCTTTGACACCCTGGATAGTTTTAGCGATTTATGTATTGTACTTACTTGAACCGGTTCATTCGATTAATTTTCGTTTACTATCGTATAGCGTAAATTTTGGAGAGAAGGGAAAGTTTGTTTCTGATTATAGGAAGTGATTGGGAAAGAAAACAAGTTTCAAGCATGACTTCTCCTTTTTATTGAAATCATCAATAATCTTTTTCAGAACTACCACTAACTCCAGCAGTCATTTATTCCGCAGCAGAAAACTGCTGAATCAAAGCCCGGTAAACTAAGTGCATTGAATAATTGATAAACCGTGAGAAAAATTCTCTCTATCTTTTGTTTCAGTGTAATAAATAATTTTAGGAGTATCAGGAAAAATACATGCCATAACCTGAACAAACTATAACGAAGGGCTGATTGCCTGTTAGAACTTCAAGAAAGGTGTACATAAAACGAGGTTCACAGAAAATTAATGTACTCAGGGACTGAGGTGATTTGGTATCTAAAGAGTGGATGGAAGATAGTATCTTGCTTTAGTCACAATGGTCAACTCATATTACCAAATATCACCGACAGCTTTTCAACCCTCTGACAATGCGTTTCGCAGTAAAAAAAGGTTGTATACTGGTTATCCCAAACTGTCCAAACGTCAGTACCAGTACCTGTTATTATGCTTTTGTTAAATCTGATTGAAACAAACGAAGTTCGTCAAGTATATTGAATCCGACACCTGATTAGGTCACTGCGATCCATGTCGTCTAAGAATCTCATGTGCTTAAGGAAGAATGCTTTGCATTTCCATTAGACTTTGATGAAGATTTTGCGATCAGTGAACGATATTGCATCCATCCACCGGTAGTTAGAGTCACATTGGTTGGTTCAAATCTGTCATTGTTGTTCGAAAAAAATTGTTCATGTAGTTACCAGAATATTCTAAATCATCATCAAATATAAATACGTATACAATGAAAACTTGCTAATAAAATAGGAGGATAAATGCTGTAGTTTGAAATTGATTTATGTAAAATTTTGGCATTACCTTCAAATATATAGTGAATGGATCTAGCTCCGAACGTACCACAGGGCGGATCAAGATTAAGAGTGGCGAACCATTGAACAAAAGAGTAAAGGTGTGGTTAAAGTTCTCTTCACTAAAAACGTATTTGCACTAAGTTTATTACGTCTATGAACAAATTCGGCTGAGCTTTCTCCTGGATTCCGATGATCAACGGATTGGACCTTACAATTTGGTAACCCAGTTAGTAACTCAAACACTCACCGAGGTTTTAGTGTAGTCGATTAGTTCATTAGCAACTTTAGTTCCATATCACCTATCCATTTCAGGCTCAGCCACTGTGCACACCTAGTGGTGGTTATGGGTGTCAATAAAAATATGCTATGAAATGTCTCTCAAATTCTGTTGAACGAAAGGGAATTTAGATTTTTTTACTGTTCATGATTGGTGAAACATAGTTCTACTGGTATTGGGTAAAGTAAATCCCACAGCTTGATTTGTATGGGATTTCAACTTTAACAAAACCGGGGAAGGGAAAGTTCTTTCTCACTGGATCACTACTATTTACTGTTCTATGATTTTTTCGTCGCGCATTCAACGCAGTACCAATGAAGCTATATACAATCAATAAACGTTTGTTGTCGCTTTGATTGTACTGTATTCTGTATTCCTCTCCAACCTTTGTATAGCCGCGGCTCCCTTCCTAAATGTTGAGTGCATATTTATATACTCAATAAATAGGAAATGAAGTAAACTCGAATAAGGCCTTATGCCAAACAATGTCATCGTGTGCACCAAATTGTAAAACTAAATTCTTGGAACCTCAGCGTTTCTACAACTCAAAAAGTCCTTCAGCTCCAGTCATTTCTAGAAGTTACGGAATTAACGGCAACGTGTAAAACGTGAGAGATATTTAATAACGTTATTCTGAGATGATTAAAACCAAAACAATGCGTACAATGTTTGGGCCCTTCAGTCGGCAAAATTTGGCCCGTGATATAGATGCTACTGAGGTGTTTCGAGTAGGCTGACATCGATGGGAAGTTTTCTGATGGTGATCTGAGAGAGTAAAAAGATGGGCGAGATGGGCACGTCTGTCAAATGCAGCTGAAAGAAATGGCAGTATAAGGAACATAGTGCACGGTCGATCTCATCTACCGTGTTTTTAGAACTACCATGTTTCTTCTTTGGTCTCGCCCTGGCTATTTTTGTTACATTTTTCTTCTTCCCAGAGCGTTACTTCAATCATTTATAAACATTGGTGATCACCTTCTTGTCCGATTTATAATACACTGTTCCAACGATTTTTGTATCTATGTCATAACTTATATGATTCAGAAAACATACTATTATCTAGTATTTCTAGTGCAACGTGTCATATTGCGTGCCTTTAAATGAAACATTCCAACTTGAGCTTTGAATTGGCATGGAAAAATTCAAGATTGGTACACTGATTACAAATCAAGAGTTAACATCTGAATGAATTACGCATCATCTAATGATGATGCGACTGTTTCTGTGACATTACACTGAAAGCATCAAAATTAGACTTTCATTGTGTTCGTAGTTCTTTGATGGTATTAGTCTGTTTTATGAGTTGAGGTAATAAAGAAACAAAAATTCTCTGATACTTGGGTATAATTTTTCATGTTTGCACAGTACATTTGTTTATATTACTTTGTGATTCTTCAAAACTGGACAGTTCACAGAGGGGTTACTAATTCAATGTCTACTTTAAGGTCGAAGAAGGATTAATAAAATACAATGTTTTGTTTAAACAATGAGTGTAGCTCAGGGGTAAGGGTTTGAAGTCCCATCCCGAAGATCTGCAGTTCCAGTCCTGACAGGGACTTAAAAAGTACGCACTTCTGATGAGTTCCAAACAGGGCAAAACAGCTGTCCAGTGATCTTTGTCGGTTATCACAAACATTTCCGTCGCATTTAAGTACAGTGTTTTGTCTTCTTAAAGCAGGAATATTCATTTCTGATAACTGCCTTATCACGCATTATTTTTCTCCTAAATAGGAATGAGCTAGGTAATTCAGGTTTTCTTGCTCCAGTACAGAAACTGAAGCCGGATATTGGATGGTGGTGGCGAAGTGGTTCAGTGGCTGTCATGTAATGATTGTAGTAATGGTAGTAGTAATACGCACTGAACTCGGAATACGAAACTCGCAATACGAATCAAGGATTAACAATCACAGACTGGATCACGTAAGCACTGGACCGCAATGGTACTAGCACGCAGTATCCCACGTAACTGAGACGCGAGGAAAAGTTCATTTGTTGGAGGATATAAAGGGGATTAAATAATATGTACATGTAAGTTCATTGGTCATCCGGGCTTCTGCCAATCGCGTTCTAGTATTTCTTGCATCGTCCTGCTTCTGTCTGGGTCGCACGATCTCTGCTGCTACGATCTGCTTATGATATGAAGTCAGAAGCAGTGACACGCACACGCTTTGTTGACGTCATCCGTTCAGTTTGATTGATCGCAGTTGTCCTATGACAGTAACGCGTCGCTCCAGGATACGCGTCATCTCGTAGGCTCGAATCACCACAATTTATTCACTGTTTAAACGGGACACATCAGTTACGATCACACAGAGAGGAGTATCCGACGCAATCGATAAGACTTTCTATGGATCCATGCTTCGTTTGTCTTTCACGTCCAAGCCAGCTCTGTGTTTGCGGCTGAAGCACGAAGTTCCGAACTCGNGTCAGAAGCAGTGACACGCGCACACTTTGTTGACGTCACCCGTGCAGTTTGATTGATTGAACTTGTCCTATGACAGTAACGCGTCGCTCCAGGGTAAGTGCCATCTCGTAGGCCCGGATCACCACATGTCACCGATATGCTTAGTTCCCTATGGTCCGAGGTTCGAGCCCCGCCAACCCTAATGGAAACTGTAGACATATATCAGCTATACTCATCCACCGAACACTAACCGAATTTACAAGCAGCATGGACAGTGAAACTGAGGACTGCTCTAATGATTGTGTTGTCCAATTTACATTTTACTTATTCAAATTAAAGAAAGCAACGTTGTATGACAAACAATGACTTACACGTTATGTCTACATTTGATTAGGGTAAAGTTATTATTACCGTCGCTCAACAAGTGTTGGAATCCGCACTCACTGATTGACTATGAATTCGACTACCATATGGTGTCTCACTATGTTACAGCTAAAAGTAAAGGTATTTTCAATAGGTATACAAAGCTCGTTTGAAAGTCACAACTACACCGAAAGTACAAAGATTTCTGTCAGGAGTCCCGCTATCTGATAATCAATGACCCAATCCTAAACAGTATCGTTGTTTCCAGTTGTGACCTTTTCTTGACAATAGAACGAGTATTACATAGTGCAAATTCGTCTTCTAAGAGTCAATGAAGTATGACCTGAAAAGCTGGGAAGCACTGGACAGCTGTTTCAACCCGATTAGATGCCATCAGCAGTGTGAATCCATCCGCCCATTACCTTACAGGCAGAACGCAAGCATACTACTCAATCGGTCAACGGGCAGTTGATCAGATCGAGCGTTCCCGAATTTCATGATAGGATGAATGACAGGGGATTCACACAATAGGTTCTTTTGTAAATCATAACCCAAGATTATCTGATATTGAAATCCATAGGATAGTCTCATAGACTTTTCTTAGATATGACCCATTCTAGCATTGAGTTGCCTAGTTTTGGCGCGCAAAACAGCCTATGATCAGAGTGCAATCAAAAAGAAGACAAGATCAAACTATCCCTCTGTTGAATTTTGCAATAAAAATTTATGCTGTAATATGTGTTTTTGTATGGTGTCAGTTCAATCAATCAGTGTGTGAGGTTAGGTTAACGTTGCATATTACGGGCTACAACCTGAAATGCAGTAGTTTTAGTTACTCTTCCGATTGATGTCTAAATAACCTATATACGCTTATACTTTGTGAACATAAAGTTAAAAAAATAATTTGGTCGGAGGAAGGATTGGTAAATCACATCACTTCTTTCTCCCAAAACGACCATTTGGCATTTGATAAACCAGCGTGCATCGCGATCACTCTGAGGTAACCCCTATTAGGAGTTAACTTCGTGCCACAGTGATATTGAAAACTGTGATGCCACCAGAGCCTCTTGTCTTCATGGATGCACTACTTCATATTACGTAACCATGTAAATACAAACTGATTTTAATTTCAATCTAAACAAACAAATTACATCTGCTTTGAATGCCTATTTTAGTCGTTCCGTCTGATCCTTACAGCGGATAATGTGCCTCCAAAGGTGGAGGCGAAGTCCAGCCAGAGGCGATGGGTGGTATATACAACTTATATATAGTTTATATACTGTCAAAACGTCTGTGCAAAGACATACTGTTTCCTCCTATTGTCTTTTTTCAAAATCCTTTTTGGGAACTAGCATCTCAAATTATGGTAGAAATTTGAATGTTTCAGTTTTAGTGCTGCTCGAAGCTAACACAAAATTCTGTTTATCTAAAGCAAATCAGCAGCTTCTTGATCACTTATAGCGATAGTGTAGAATATTTTTGGATGCCCTGATTTTTAATTTATACCTAAATATATTTGTTTGAAATGACTCCCTAATTCCATCCGCTTTGGGTATCGTCAATCGATGAATACAATGCACGATGAACGTTGTGTATCAGTAATTGATTAGTTTCTTAGCGCGGTGTTGTATGTTCCTGTTTCATTGTAAGGTCGATAAACGAAGGCCCTGAAAAGATAATATTTTTTGAAACAATTACTAACTAACCGATCGTTGGTTTGTGATAAATTGTTTTCGTCTGTATAATTGAACAATTAAAGATACGGATATGATGGAGGAAAAACGAAAATCGAGTATTAAAATGTTCGTTATACCATTCCCATAAACATGCGTATAAATATTTAGTGATAGGTTACTGGATGCACCACTTAATGAGCAACAATTACCACGAAATTAGACATGTGTTCAGAGGGAAATGTTTCCAGGCAGTCAGTGCAATATATTTGCATTCTTCTACTGAGGTGTGCTTGACCAGTACAGCAAAAGCACACCTTTTATGATGCGTCCGGGGTTCAAATCGTGGCACGGTGAATGTGCACTACTGGTAAACTCCTATAATGAAAGCTTAACTCCGGTTCCTATGGAGTACATGCATAAATCAATGCACTAAAGAGCAAATGTGAAATTGTATCCGAAGGTCATTCGCAATGAACTGTTTACCTGACGTTATTACTCACAAATAATCCTGAGTTGAAAAGGAAAACATACATAACTTACGGTTTATTCAATATATCGCATTTATATGCATTGTTTTGCAAAAAGCAGCATATTTGCCGTATTGCTGACTAACTAATGTCCTTAATTATGGGTATTGCAACTTCTATGGTATACTCAAGTAGCTACGCAGAATAAATACACATGGTTTTCAATTAAATTTATCCGGCCTTTCAAACAATTGGTACAAGTACATGAAGCGTTAAGAATATTTGTGAGACAATACTATCATTACTCGTGTCAAAGGTATGCGAACCGGTTTCTCACATCCCGATGCACTTTTCACCCTTTCACAGTTAAAACAAATATCTAAAGTCGTGTGGAATTTTCGCGAACTGTAGTGAAAGATACCGCTGGATTTTAATCACACGCCGATAGACAACCGGTGCCAATCTGGCCGTTGTTAGCCGAAGTTGCTTTTCGTAACCATATTCAAAAACTGGATACACCGTGGAGCCTCCATCGGACCACGATATTTTCTACCAGCACGACGAAACGGCTGGTCAGAACGGTTTTGTCGACGCATCAGAACAAGGTACGCCACCACTTGTTAAGCCAGAGAGCAATACTTCATCACTGGTTTGTCCGGAAAGAAGTACGCCTGAACCTGTTCCTGAAATATCGGAATTGTTCAGTTCATCAGAGGCTGCTCAGTCTGAAGAGCGAACCACTCTTGAAAATATTGTGCTTGATCTTGACTTACCGGCTCCTCCAGAAGAGCTGAAACAATACGAATTGACTGAAGTGCCACCCGAATTACCTGAGATATCGACTCACGAAGTGAACTCCCAACCAGACTCTGAGTACGAACAGGAGGAGGGAGAAAACGACGAGGGGGT